GTAACAAGAAGCTTGTAGTAACAAGTGCCTTACTAGTAGTAACAAGACGCTTGTAGTAACAAGTGCCACGCTAGTAGTAACAAGTGCCTTACTGGTAGTAACAAGAAGCTTGTAGTAACAAGTGCCACGCTAGTAACATAGGCTGTAGTTGGAGCCCATCGCTCTTAGGTTGGTGGCTTTCGACCCTTGGACGTCACCAGTAGAACCCTCGATCCCCGGACACCCATCCGACCACGCATGGGAGGAGACCAGGAGCGCATGGGAGGAGCGGCTTTTTTCGAAGCTCGTCTTTTGGAGCCCCTAGTAGCATCCTTGCTCCTAGTAGCGATGCCAGGAGCCCCTAGTAGCGATGCCCTTTGCTCTAGTAGCGTTTGGGACAAAGGAGCATCAGGAACCGAAACTCCTTCGCAGGATACTGCAGATGTCTGAAACATCAATGCGTGGGAGGCAAGCAGTGCTTGTATGGCACTGCTTGGAGATCTCTTGGGAACGCCCACGAACGCCCCTGGTTTCGCACCCTGTGGTTTTGCTGTCTCATGCGCCTTATCTGGAGATCTCCAGGAGATCTCCTGGGCGAAGCTCTGAAGTTCCGCGCAACAGCCTTCCTTTGCCAGGGTGCGACGATGAAGCCACTCGCGTTGCTGAGTGATTCCCTCTTGGGTGCTTTCTGGGTTGGGACAGACATCCGAACAGAAATTCACACCAGCCTGCCTCGATCTCGGTGACTTGCCACTGGTCATGAGTGTTCAACAGCACGCGCCTCCCGGAGACTTCTGAAATCCGAAGCCACCGACTTTGGGCTGGCTGGTGCTGGCGCCCTAAAAGGGCTGCAATGGTGCCCCCCCGCTGCACTTGTTCAGTGCCCCAGTACCCCTTGCGTTTTTTTTCCACCTCTCTTGATCTCTGCGTATTGACACAAGAGATGCTGCGACAACACGATTTTGGCTCCGTTTCGGCCAGAACAACGGCGTTCCTTCACCAAGGCGTTCGCCTGGTGTCCGACTCAGGATCGTTGCATTCTGTAGATTCCTTGGTGACAGTGAAATCTTTGAACACCGTACCTTGTTGAGGTGGCTTTTGTGCCACTGCTAGTAGATATTTCGTAGATATCTCGGATATCTACAACAACCGAGTGAAAGTTGACGTAGAAGGTGCAGCCTTTGGATTTGCAGGCATTATTCAGGGACATTTTAAAGTAACACATCTTCTCTGGGAATATCGAACCTGGACATTTCAGATTCAAGCTTTTTGGTAGTACAGTGATGTGCAGTGTGTAAAGCAACGATTTTTCGAGCCTTGTAGTAAGGGCTAGTGAAATGGAAAAGCGCGTAGTCCACACAAGTTGGCAGTTGGCCACAGCGTTCCGTCGGGGAACGTCAGACCATAGCATAGGCCTTTAACCAATGTCCTTGCAGATACAAGAGTTCTTCTTTGAAGTGTTTTCAGTAACGAGTCGCAAAAAGCCACAAAAATATCCCTGGCAGGACTGCATGCAGCAGAAGTGGCCAAACCGCGACGAGAGATCTTCAGCCTACCAAAGGTTGGGTTTCTTTATGCGCAGCTTTCGGAGAAAGCCCTGGTGTTTGTCTATTCGGACCATTTTTGGTTTAACATTTAGACAATAGTTTTTCTGTCCACAGGCTCTTTCATTTTGCTCAAGTTTTTTTTGTGTTTCCCGTGTTTCCAACGTGTGTTGTTGTTTGCCGAAAGTGCTTGTTTTGCAAACCAGGCTGGTGCTATCTGGTGTGCGCTCACCTCAGGCCAGCAAAAGAATCTTGCTGACAACCGGACAGACAACATTATTTTATGAAGAACTTCGAGATAATTGAAACGTGAATTGCATCATTGCACAAGACAATGAGGAGTGGCCTGAGATATGACTGTAATTATTACAGTTGTTCTGTTGGTTTTGGGACAACCTTTGTTTGTTTCACCCGCGCTTCGTGGATGTCAATGTGGCTTGCACCATTTGCGCCGGGATGCCCAGCTGCTTGGTCAATGCCGCATTTCACGGAAAAAGAACACAATATGAATCTGTGGTCAAAGGATCGCATTGCCTTTTCATGGACAGCACAAATTGAGAAGTGTACCAAGTTTCAAACTGGACCACATCATAACCACAGAATCAATATGATGCAAATCCGTCATTGCACACTCCTGCTCTATGTTGGCTTGATTTCAGATTTGGGCTCTTGTACGCACTGCATTCACTGTCCGCTGTCCCTTAGATCCCGACATGGAGGAGATTCCATCCCTACAATACTTTGTGGACTTTGTGCCATTGAGTAAGGATATCTATGAGAAGAAAGTGGAGACCTACTGCTTGGATATCTCGCAGGAAATCTCCGCCATGACAGTCATGAAGGAGGCTATGGAAACGGCAGCAACAACCGATCTCAGCATCCAAGGTAAGTTGAAAGCATGGACGACATCCCTGAAGCAAACTTACAAGCGCTCTGTCCAGACGGAAAGAGAGCTGAAAACCAACTTGGTCGAGAAAGTCAAGGAAAAGTTCGAACAGACAGTGGAAAGAAAGCACCCCAGCCCGACACCAACGACGGGCATCATCTCATACAAGGTAAGTTTCAAGTTTCAGAATGATGTGCTGACTTTCACTACGCACGAGGTGGTGGATGAGTTGAACGCAGACTACCTGAAGGCGGTCATCGACGAGTATCCTTACACCATAGCGATCGCAGATATGGCTTTGCGTTTGCAGATCAAAGCACAACACCCTCCTCCGCCCCCTCCTGTCCACGACCTGACCTCGCTGAAATTGAATCGCTTCAAGGTCCAGCCACCAAGGGCAGAAAGGGGCTCTGATTGGAATTGGTACTTCCAGTGCACCGGGTGCGGGGAGTCTGGCCCAGTATGCAGGGACTATCCTGCTGCTTCGGCTTGGCCGCACGATTGTCCTAACGGCGAGTGGAAGGTCGAGGTGAAGCCTGCGTGAGATCAAGGTGAGTTTGCAATTGCAGGTGTATAGGGCATAAGCTAGGCATGGCAACGCAGGACAGTTTTGCCCCTGGCTATCAGATCTATCAGTAGGCATTTAGGATTATTGCTCGGACATCATGTTGAAAGGTTATATAACACTTCTCACCAGTCATCACTACTGTTCACGAGTTGACAGCTGCGTTGAGATCCGTTCGCATGAAACCGAGCTTGTGCTTAGGCCGATCAAAGTTCCTTTCCTTTAGATCAAAAGTTCCTTTCCTTTAGATCAAAAGTGCCTTTCCTGTAGGACTTCTGACCTCACAAAGGCGTGTGAAAAAGAATTGCCTTTTGGAGAACAGGTTTGAAGGTAAGAGGGCTTGTGATCGCACAAACAGAGCAATTGCTCTTGACAGCAGGGTTGGACTCGTGAAACTTGTTGGAATGCTTTTGAAACGATACTTGGATAAGATTGTTGTGAAGGATGACGCTGACACTCGATTTCCAGCCCTTCTTTTTTACCCTGGACAGTTGAATTTCTGCTGTCATCCCCTCTTCGCCGAGGTTATGAAGTCATCACGATTTCGACATCGTTGAGCAACTTCTGGTAGAGACTTGGGGCACTAGATTCTTTCAATATCAGATCCAAAGACACTTAAAGAAATATCGCCTCATAGAATTAAACTATTAATGCCTTGTTATTTAGTCATTGACGGAAAGAAGCAAGAGATGGACGAAGACATCTTCGACCAAATGGTTGAAGCACTCAATCAACCATCCACACCAAAAAACACACCCACAGCGAACAGTCGTTGGAGAGCCGACGGAACTTACGACAAGAAACCGTTAGATGAATATTATTAAAACACATTGTTATCAAAAGAAAATTAAATTCCGTTAAAGTGTCCCGACTGCGGACGCACCACTTCGTAAAAATCCAATTTATCAAAGCACCGCCAAACCAACGTGTGTATGAGCAACCGAAGGCACTGATGAAAAATGAACAACCTTCTCAACAACATCAACTTTTGTTGAGAATGTTTGCACGTTGAGGTTCAACCCAAGTCCCCAAAACCTGAACCCCAGACCCCAGCCCAAAAACTACTTAAAGACTTGCCACCTTATAGGGTAAGGAGTATATGGCAGAGGATACTAGGTTGAACATTGAAACCTCTGGGTTTAATGATGAAGTCCAAAATCACCAACACAACCTTCAACCTGTCAAAATCCCCATCAACATCCCTCCAAACCCTACTTAAAGCAACATCATCTAATAATAATATAGACCATACTATAATGACAAGTCATTCAGAGCAGATTGTATTAGACTACCTACTCACCTCCGAAAAGGTGGAAATCCTCAAAGAGAATGGAAGAAAGCTAAAGAAACTCAAGATAGGTGAGAAGACCTACAACTACGACAAGACAAAGCCGCTCACCGACAGGTTAAAACGCAAACTCAAGACTGTTAAACAAACAATGGGATACAACAAATACGAACTGGAAACCAAGAGAGGCATCAGATGGACGAGGATTGACAAAAACGAAGCACTCATCAGCATCCAAAAGAGATTTAAATTAAAGCAGACATCACCGAAGAACAATCTGCTTTCAACAATTATGTCAATTCCTATTCCGTCAGCAACATCAAAGTCAAAGGCGTCAAAGCCCTTCAGTATCTGAAATACCAAGACCAGAGACTGAAGGAATACCTGAACAAGCATAAGGGAATGAACATTATGATGGAAGCATACGGGACAAGAAGACCAACCAAGACATAAGACACACCATAAGGAGTAGAAGATATGAAATCACCAATGCGGAGGAGATAGTGAATGTCCTGTCGCAACGCGTAAAATGGAATTGAGTGAGAGCGGATTAATAAAGCAGTTGGACAAAATCAAGTTCAGTTATGACAAGAATAATCCTACTCGTGGCGGTTCGTTCATTGAACTTCCGAAATGGGTTCAGACCATGAAAGCGTGTATCAACATTGAAAACCAAGACGATATGTGTTTCAAGTATTCCGTCTACACACGCAGCAGATTTGTTGCAATCTTTGCATCTGCAGAATCATGGTTGGATGGCAAAGCCGAATCCGTTCTGTGCAGGCTTTGCTGACTGCACTTTTTGATAGACCTGCTGGAAAGTGCGGAGCTCAAAAAGGCTTGTTTGTGGTGACCGGCAGCTCAACATCTTCGCAGGTGTCGTTTGAACCAGATCCTGGAAGATGGTGGTTGTAAAGGGCTCAAGGCAGGCATTGTTTGTTGCAATCAGGCTTTCACACATATTTTTGGTATGTTTGATGTCTATTTCATAAGTTTAGATATTTCCCCAGCAGCGTAGCTTGGGGGTCTTTAGCCATAGTAACAGCCTCAGAGCAGGTTCCGAGGCAAGGGCTCTGGTGTTCGGGAGCAGGTTGCTTCAGATCTGCTGACCTGGGTTCAGACGCTGACCCTGTCAGTCTGTGAAACGTTGTCCTGCAGGTTGTCCCAATGCGAACATGGTGTGCGCATTCAGGTCAGTCTGTTGTCACTCTGCCATGCGAACTGGCAAAAGCATGAAGTCATGCTGACGCGCGGCTTCTACTCCAACGCTAGCATGTTGCCATGCTGACATCCTGAGATGTTGTCGAGCCGGTGTGCTGGCATGGTGTCATGTTGGCGTGTTGTATATACTGCTGTCACAAGGACGTGTAGACCCGCGACGCCTAGTAATTAGCTCCTTGTACTCGCCATCCATTGGGGGATACGCTGGCATGGTGTCACGCCTTCATATTGTAATGCTGGCTATCATGGGTCTTACCTGACGCGTGGTCACGATGAGATGCTGTGCTGAGATGGCAGGCGCGGGTCAGGGCAGGTCACATGAGCTACGTCGAGTGCCGTGCAAACCCTTCAGCGTGCATGTGTCCTAAGCGGTCAGTTTGCATAGAATGCAGCACTCAGTTGGGTTGTGAAGTAGCCACTCAACTGAACTAGACCATGCTACTGTGGTGCTATATCACATCAAATCAAAAGAAGACACCTGTGAGTGGGTCAACACCTGAGTGCATTTTAAATGGACATGATGCGAGTGACAAACTGTATTTGGGGTCTTTGATCACGACAAGCGAACATGCGCCTGTTTGTGTAGTCAATCGAGGGAGATGTTGGTATATCATGGTATATCAGTATATCACAGACTCACGGACAGGTGATGCTTGTTTTTCCTGGTAGGGAGGCGTATGCAAGTTGGTATTTTATACTTTCTCACTTCACATAGACATTGTTCTGATTTTGCAGTCGGAGTCGCAGAAGGTTTGGTTCCATGTTCAAGCTTATGCGGGAGGCCGATGCGTTGGCGTCCCTCACAGAGCAGCTTGAGGTGCGAAGTGCGAGGGGCGGATGTGACAGAACATGAAAGAGCGAAGGACTTGCAGAAATTCACGGTCACCTAGTAGCTTATTGTTTCTAGTAGCTTCTTGTTACTACTAGTAAGGCACTTGTTACTAGTAGCGATGCACTTGTTCCTAGTAGCTTAACGGTTCCTATGTTTTTCATGAATTACTAACTACTGTATATACTGTCGGGGATCTCGGTTAGAAAAAGCACTGGGCCGCAGTCTCTGGCCGCAATTTTCTGTCCGGGTGTCCTCCGGGTGTCCTCCTCTTGTTCTGTGTCATCCACGGTTGTACCGGCTGGCTGAGATTCCTGGGGTAGAGCCAAGAAGCTTTATCCAGCTAGGAGCTTTCTTCATGGATGGTAAAACTTTAAGATGGGTTTTAACATAGAATTTTATCCATGTCATGTTGGAAGATAACAACTCAAGAGTTGGGTGGCGACAAGAACATTTGGCTAACCTGGTGTCCTGGAATTTTATCCAGCTGATCTTTTGAAAAGAGAATAATAGACTTTGTTGCATCTGGCTGATTCTAAAGTTAGAAAATCTGGCCGATTCTCAATTCAACAACATGTAGAATCAACAAACAAAACCTCGAACAGAAGAAGAACCCCTCACTTTACCAAGTGGTCACATACCAAGGAAAGTGCCTGTTCTAGATCGATGTCAGCAACGATTTTTGAGTCATAGACCACATACCAATGTATACCATGTACAGGTTCTTTGGGCATTGTTGGCACACGGATTGTAGGGGTCCTCTGTTGGTCGGTCGGTCTGGCAACATATGTTTTGTCCATGCGAAGATAGATGCCACTAAGGTGCGTGCACGGCAACGGATTGAAGTGTCAATGGAGGGCCCGCAACCAGTGCTGGTCACAGCGCCTTGACAGCGGAGATTGATCAGATCGTTTTGTTTTTTCTTTCCTTTCTTCCTTGTTTCTTTTCTTTTCCTTTAGACCTTTAGACTTTCTTTCCTTTAGACTTTCTTTCCTTGCTACTAGTAGCGATGCCAGGAGCCCCTAGTAGCGTCCTTAC